CGGGGACAAACTGCAACCGAGGTACGTGCCCTTAGCGGGAACCGAACCTGGGTCTCTCTGTACCACAGGCCGACGCTCTAACCGCTGAGTCAAACCGGCCAGGGCTGATTATGTCCTTTTTAAATAAAAGCTCATGTGTGCTGTATTTCCTCCAGTTATTACATGTTTGAAAATATCCATTTGTGTTTTCATGCTTGAATGTCATCTTGGGTAAGTGTAAAGTTTCTAAAGTATATAGACTTTCTGTCTCTGAGAAAGTTGTAAATATTGTTTCATAGTCTTCCAGTATTCATTTTTACTGTGGAGGTATCTAAGCCAAGACTGATTTTTCCCCTTTGGTGACTTGCATTTTGAAAAATGGACCCCCACCTCAAAATAAACTTTGTTGTTGTTAATCCTCACCCAAAGATATCTTTCCACTGATTTTTAGAGAGAGAGAGAGAGAGAGAGAGATACACATCGATGTGAGAGAACCATATTGACTGGTTGCCTCCTGCACGACCCTGACCAGAGCAGGGGATCGAACCTGCAACCCAGATACATGCCCTTACTGGGAATAGAACTCGCAATCCTTCGGTGTGCAGGCCAATGCTCTAACCGTTGAGCCAAACTGGCCAGGACCTCAAATAAACTTTTATCTTTAAATTTATCTTCAGATAGAGTGGGAGGGAGAGAGGGAAGAAGAGAGAGAGAAACATCGAGTGATTGCTACCCACATGACTCCAACTGGGACCGGGGACAAACTGCAACCGAGGTACATGCCCTTAGTGGGAACCGAACCCGGGACTTTCTGGACTCTCTGGACTCTCTAACTACTGAGCCAAACCGGCCAGGGCATGAATACCTCTTGATGAGTTTGGACATATGTATACATCTGGGATGTCATTACCACAACCAAGGTACTAAGCATATCCATCACCTCCAAAAATTTCCCTGTGTTTTGTGTGTGTGTGTATGTGTTTTTATAGGAATACCTAACATGAGATCTATCCTCTTAACATTTTATAAGCATACACTATCATATTTTTAACTGCAAGTAACTGTTGTACAGCAAATCTCAAGAACTTATACATCTTATATAATAGAAACTTTATACAAGTGTGGAAAAAGCAAGATACCAAGCAGTGAATCTAGTATGCTACCTCATATATCTGGGGTCAATCATTATCTGTATTTCCTGGATATATTTCTTGTATAAGAGAATCTGACTTTTTAGGTTCAGGTCTTCTTTTATTTCAAAAAAAGCTTTCTATTAACTTTGAAGTTTTTTCTATTCCACTTGCCCTAATACATATAAGTTAGATTCCTTTTATTTTTCTTACATATACCTAATTTTCTTTCTGATACTTAATTTTGTTCTTTTCTATTCTATTTTACTTGATCTTTCAAAGCTTTCTTCCATGTCCCTAATTTTCTTTATACATCCATATAATGATTTTTAATGGTTACAAGGGATTACACTGTGTATGTGTTGGATGCTTTTATTAATCTTCCTATTAGATTGTCTCAAATTTTTCACTGTTAAAAACATCCATACCTGTTCTTAACAGCAGTGATGATGCGTCATAAGATCAGTAAACTTGCCCTAATTCTTCCTAAAGGTGCTGAATGCCAAAAAATTTTAAATCATGCTTGTGAATCCATTTGCCTGTCTTTTCTTCTCATGTAGTCAGACTCAGGATAATCAATAAATGAATTACTTTAAGGGTTTCCAGGCCTTTATCATAAAAATGAGACCCTAGTTTTGTGGCTAAGCATAGTAAAGAAATCTCCAGATTAAAGAAAGTGGTTTGGTGATAGCTTCTTTAGTACTCTCAAAAAATATATTAAAGACTTAATGGTAGGGGTGAAAAATAGTATAGTCTCTGTGGAGGACTATTTGACAGTATCTACTGAGCTAGATATTTTCTATTTATCCCTCAAGATCTACTCTCCCCCAGCACTGTGTCTGAGGAGGGTGACTCAAATGGACTACATCAGTGGGTTCGCTTATCTTTTGGTTTCTGATTTGAAGCCAATGGAAAGCGCCAGTAGGACACTGTCAGGAGACCCTTTCCAGAGCTAGCTACTATCATCGGGTTCTGGTGATGGATTCATCTTCTTGTCTTTTTAGACCTAGCAATGGAAATGGCTCTCTAGTGTTGCTGGTTTGGATGTCTGCATCATTTCTTGTTGGTTTTTCTTTTTTTTTTTTTTATCCTCACCCGAGGACATTTTTCCATTTTTTGTACAGATAGAGTGGGAGGGAGAGAGAGGAAGCGAGCGAGAGAGAGAAACATTGACGTGAAAGGGACACATCGAGTGGCTGCCACCGGCACGACCAACCAGGGCCGGGGACAAACTGCAACTGAGGTACGCACCCTTAGCGGAAACCGAACCCGGGTCTCTCTGGACCGCAGGCCAATGCTCTAACCGCTGAGCCAAACCGGCCAGGGCTCTTGTTGGTTTTTCTAAAATCTTCCCATGTCTTTGCAAGTATGCTATGTTTGCTACACATCTAGAAATTTATTTTACATTTATATAAAATGACAGGTATATAAAATTATTCATTGCAACATTATATTTCTAAAATGAATTATTGGAAATATAATGTCCACATACAGAAAACCGTAACATAATGGTATAATGACACAGTGGAATATTATCTAGCTGCAAAAAACTTAAAACATTCATTAGATATATCTATGGAATAGTTTCCAATTTATTGGCTTGTTTTTTTTCCTCCCCAACCTTCAGTTATTCTTGTTTTTTTTTAATCCTCACCTGAGAATATTTTTCTATTTATCTTCAGATAGAGTGGGAAGGAGAGAGAGGAAGAGAAAGGCAGAGAGAGAGAAACATTGACGTGAGAGGGACGACCCAGATCAGAGCTGGGGATGAATCTTAACCGAGGTATGTGCCCTTGGACGGAACTGAACCCAAGACTCATTGGTCTGCGGGCCAATGCTCTACCACTAAGCCGAACTAGCTAGGGCCAGTTATTCTTTTATTAATTTATTTCTCACATGCTGAAGTCTCCCCAAATATTTGTGAAGCTTCATTTATACCTCAGTAATCATAAATTACAGTGTTTGCTTTACTATGGTGTTCTCCCAATTTTTGCTGTTGTTTTCACCTGTATTGAAGTTTACTTATATACAAAAAATTGTACATATTTAATGAATACCTCTTTTATTTTATCCTCACCCGAGGACCTTTTTTTTGCATTTATCTTCAGATAGAGTGGGAGGGAGAGAGGGAAGAAGAGAGAGAGAAACATCGAGTGATTGCTACCCACATGACTCCAACTGGGACCGGGGACAAACTGCAACCGAGGTACATGCCCTTAGTGGGAACCGAACCCGGGACTTTCTGGACTCTCTAACTACTGAGCCAAACCGGCCAGGGCATGAATACCTCTTGATGAGTTTGGACATATGTATACATCTGGGATGTCATTACCACAACCAAGGTACTAAGCATATCCATCACCTCCAAAAATTTCCCTGTGTTTTGTGTGTGTGTGTGTATGTGTTTTTATAGGAATACCTAACATGAGATCTATCCTCTTAACATATTTTATAAGCGTACACTATCATATTTTTAACTGCAAGTAACTGTTGTACAGCAAATCTCAAGAACTTATACATCTTATATAATAGAAACTTTATACAAGTGTGGAAAAAGCAAGATACCAAGCAGTGAATCTAGTATGCTACCCTATATGTAAAAGAAAAAAAAATAAAGGCCCTGACTAGTTTGGCTCAGCGGTTAGAGCATTGGCCTGCGATCCAGAGAAAAAAATTAAGAACATAAATGTATGTTTGCATATATGTATGTGTGTGTGTGTGTGTATACTGTATTTCTCCATATATGCACATATATGTGTGAGAGAGTGAGAATGTGAGGAAGAGACCGTCTTTGGAAGGGTACAGAAGAAAATGATAATAGTGGTTGTTTTAAGGGAGGAAAAGTAAACTTTCAACAATTCTTTTGTATCTTTGAACATTAAATCATATGAATGTATTGCCTATTCAAAAATGCATCATATTAATAATAAGTATTAATTGAGAGCCTTAAAGAAATAATGACCAAGAAAGAATTAGAGAAACTGGTAAAGGAATCGCTAGGTGATGGAAAGAGCCAACAAATTATTAAGTTATAAAATGCTCTAAGTAGTAAAAGTTCTCATAATTTAATTTCTTTCTTTTTTTTAATCCTCACCGGAGGACATTTTTTTCCTTTTTTTTTTCTTTTTGCACAGATAGAGTGGGACAGAGAGAGAGGAAGAGAGAGAGAGAGGGGGAAACATCGATGTGAAAGGGACACATCGAGTGGCTGCCACCCGCACGACCAACAAGGGCCGGGGACAAACTGCAACCAAGGTACATGCCCTTAGCGGGAACCAAACCCGGGTCTCTCCGGACCGCAGGTGGATGCTCTAACCGCTGAGCCAAACCGGCCAGGGCTCATAATTTAATTTCTTGCCATGGTCCTTTTATGGAATTATAAATTCTAAATATAAATAATTATATTTATATTATTATAAATTATAAATAATAAAACACTATTATAAATTCTTTGTAGAAGTTACTTCCTGTTTAGGGTTGAATGCAGAAAATCATATATGGTAAAGATTTGTTTTAAACATGATCTTTATTATTTAAAAGAGCTTTTCACAGTTCTTTTGGCCTCTTCCTGTATTTACAAAATTAACTTACATCACTACTAACAAAGTAGTAAGACTGCACAAGAGTCTTAGTTTCCAGTGAAAGGGGAAACTCTATTAAAGGAAATGGGACATGAGAAGACTTCAGGAAATTAACTAAGAAGGGAAGAGAAAGACTGCTGGGGAAAATATTCATTCAACTAAAGTGTTTAATAAAATCGCCCATTGTGATATTCAAAAATGGCAAAAATAGGAAAGGATTGCTAGCTTGTTTTTTTTTTTAAAGTGGTTTTACTATTCCTGATGTGGTTACCCCTGCTAGAAAAGTTCTACAAAACAGAGGGAGACTCACTCACCCTTCCTGGAACTGTGCTTGGGCAGACTCCTCCGCCACAAGAGTCTCGTACTCCTCAGCAGCAAACCTGTCCCAGTCGGAGGGCTCAGGCATGTCATTCTCCACATCCTGATGGGAAAGAGTATAGCCACAGGAAATAAAAATAATCAAAGACAAAGAACTGGAGATAGGTCATCACATATGTTATAAATCACTGGGAAAAAAAAAAAAACCTATCTGAAAAATGTTTCATTTCAACAGTTAAAAGAGGTGCTGAAGTAACACTCCTAAAGTGATTTTCCGCACCTCCAATCACATAATTACAATGATTCAGAGACCTTTCCCTAGTTCCTTCCTCCCTGGCACTTTGCCCAACAGCTATCTGGAGTGACCTGTGGGTTGCATATGCCCACCTGGAATGTACTATCCCTTCTTCAGGCACATTTTTTACTGTTTCTTTAAAAGCCAGGTCACACCACGTCACCTGTGCTGTCTTCCTGAAATAGTCCTTCTCCCTTGAATCATTTCCTTTGCTGTACTGTATATGCTTAGTTGCCACCTTTTCCTCTTCTGTCTTTTTTACCTCTACATATGCATTCTTTATATACTGAGTCCTGTTCATCTCTATATAACCAGTGTCTCCTCAACAAGTGCCTGGAATTTAACTGAGCACTTTCTGACCTATCATTTTTTTTTTTTTGCAGACTAGAATATTAATTACCTCCTCTTATAAAAAAAAGTAAAATTTAAAGCTATACATTTATAACACAAGTAAAAGAAATGAACGAGGGAAAATGCTATTTTCTTTTCCTTCTACAATATGGACAATATCTTGGATAATATATTCCAGGTAAAATATGTTTTTTCATAATGAAAATGAATTAGCATTTTCCTAGGATGTAAGGTTAGTTATGCTTAGAAGAATACAAGTCCCTAAAAACTGATCACACAATGTGTAAATTATATACTTAATCCATTTAGGAGCCCCAACCCCACCCTTTTAACATCTCTGAAATCAGCATACATCTTAGACTTAAAATTGGCAATGACTATTTGTTTTTAGGAGGCGATCTTTATATTCTTACTACTATTTAGGTCAAAAAGTTATGTAACATGTGGAAGAAAAAGAAGAGACTGTAAAAGATTCCTGTAGGACTCAATTGAAACAGTCCTTTTCTATCATAATTTTTACTTTGAAAACAGGAGAATATAGGAGGGGGAAGTGGTGATATTCTGCTTTTTGTTTGTTTTTGGACATGGATCATATGTCCAGGTTTTCTGAGTCTACAGGTTTTTGTGTATGGGGAAGGGTGCTCATCTGTGTTAATGTGTAGAATGATTTCAAACTGAGTCATGAACAGCAATCATTAACACTTGAAAAAGTGTTATATTATCTGAAATTTGTCTATCATAGAGAGCTTCTTGTTTTCATTATGATGGGGAAAGCTATTTACCAGGCTATCCTGGAAATGAATGGTATAATTAAATCACACCCAATATACTTTCTAATACAGATGTTTCTATTGATACATTTTTATTTTATTTTATTTTTTTTTATCCTCACCCGAGGACACTTTTTCATTCTTTGTTCAGATAGAGCAGGAGGGAGAGAGAGAGAGAGAGAAACATCGATGTGAAAGGGACACATCGAGTGGCTGCCACCCGCACGACCAACCAGGACCGGGGACAAACTGCAACCGAGGTACATGCCCTTAGCGGGAACTGAACCCCGGTCTCTCCGGACCGCAGGCCGACGCTCTAACTGCTGAGCCAAACCGGCCAGGGCTCTATTGATACATTTTTAAAGTTAGAAGGCAGATGCAGGTTACCTAAACTTGATTAGTTGTCGGGAAACATGTGCTCTAGGTCTTTTATTCTCTCTTTTCAGTATGTGGTGAAATGTTTTATTTTTATTTATTTATTTTTATTTTTTTTTTCTTTATTGATGTTAGAGTGAGAGAGAAGAAGGGAGAGGGAGAGAGAGAAACATTGATTGGTTGGTTTCCTCCTGCATGCCCCCCACTGGGGATTGGACCCACAACCTGGGCATGTGCCCTGACCTGGAATCAAACCAGTGACCTCTTGGTGCATGGGTTGATGCTCAACCACTGAGCCACACTAGCTGGGCAATGATGAAATGTTTTAAATATTACTTCTTTAAATATCACGTTCCTGCAGCAGAAACCATTTTTTATCTGTAGCACACAGCCCCTGATATTGCAACCCTCAAACAGAAGTTAAAACTCACTGGTACCTTCTGGACTGCAAAGGGATCTCTCTGTTCATGGTCTAAGTATTTCTCCAGATTAAAGAAAGTGTCATAAAAGATGTGAGCCATTCTGCATCTCTTCAGATCTCGTAGAGTTATTTTGCCTACATAAAAACAAAGCCAGTAAATTCCATGACCTATTTGTTTTGGCAAGTGAACAAAACTTCTACTGAACTTTTAAAAGTATATGTATACATTTATTTTATTACAAAAATCCCATTTCTTTTCTTTTTTGTTAATCCTCACTCGAGGATATTTTTCCATGGATTTTCAAATAGAGTGGGAGGGAGGGAGGGAGAGAGAGAGAGAAACATCGATGTGAGAGAGGCACATCAATTGGCTGCCTCCCAAGCAACCTTGACCAGGGCCAGGGATACAACCTGCAACTCAGGTACATGCCCTTGACAGGAACTGAACCCTTCAGAGACACTTCAGTGCACAGGCTGATGCTCTAACCACTGAGCAACCAGCCAGGGCCCATTTCTTTTTTTCGAGGTAAAATTCACATACATAACATTAACCATTTTAACCATTTTAAAGTATATAATTTAGTGGCTTTTAGTATATTCACAATGTTGTGCAACCATCACCACTATTGCTTTTCTTAACAGTTTCTTCACCTTTCAAAAGGGAACTCCTCATCAAGGAGTCCCTTCCCCTTCTCTCTTTACCCCCAACCTCAAGCCCCTGGCAATCACTAGTTGCTTTCTGTGTCGATGAAAAGAATCCCATTTCTTAAACAGGATTTGCCATCAATTGTTCATTCAACACTAATAGTAAAGGAGACACTTAAAAACTTCTGTATTTGGGAAGCCTGTATGAAAGATTCTGTAGAGTTAAATAATTTAGGACAATAAGGATTATGTACTCCACTCTGTTACAAAGGTGAGCAGTGAAAATGGCCCTTTACTCAATCTTACCATCACTGGCTGGCTTCACCAGGTCAAGCATCTGGCACAGCAAATCATGGAAGGGCAAGGGCTCAATGCCCATGGCTTCCATCCGTTCACACTGCTCCTCATAGAAGTACTCCAGCTCGTACATGGAGAGCACACCATCCCCATCCACATCCATGCAGCGGAACCAATACTCAATGCTAGGAGATAGGGACACTCATTAGTAATGGCCTTGTAAAGGTCCTTTTTTCATTCAGATTTACTATTGCCCGTGTTTTTTTTCAAATAAAAGTTACATATGTGTGAGATATCACCTCACACCTGTCAGAAAAGCTATCACCAATAAATCAACAAACAGTAAGTGTTAGTGAGGATGTGGAGAAAGGGAACTTGAGTGCACTGTTGATAGGAGTGCAGATTGGTGCAGCCATTGTGGGAAGCAGTTGGGGTGGTGCAGGAGGCAACCAATCAATGTATCTTTCTCACATCGATGTTTCTCTTAACTTCTCTCTCTCTCTCTCTCTCTCTCCCTCCACCCTCCTTCCCACTCTATCTAAAAAAAAATCAATGGATGCCCTGGCCGGTTTGGCTCAGCGGTTAGAGCATCGGCCTGCGGTCCAGAGAGACCCGGGTTCGGTTCCCGCTAAGGGCACGTACCTTGGTTGCAGTTTGTTCCCAGCCCTGGTTGGGTTGTGCAGGTGGCAGCCACTAGATGTGTCCCTTTCACATCGATGTTTCTCTCTCTCTTCCTCTCTCTCTCCCTCTCACTCTATCTGAACAAAAAATGAAAAAATGTCCTCGGGTGAGGATAAAAAAAAAAAAAAAATCAATGGAAAAATATCCTTGGGTGAGAATTAACCAAAAGAATAAAAAAATAAAAACAATTCAACATCCATTTATGATAAAAACTTTTAACAACATGTGTACAAAGGGAATGCACCTGAACATAATCAAGACCATATATGAGAAACCCAGAGCTAACATCATACTCATCATACTCAATGGTAAAAAGCTGAAAGCTTTCCTCTGAGATTAGGAACAAGACAAGGATGCCCACTCTCACCACTTTTATTCAACACAGTACTCGAAGTCCTAGCCAGAGTAATTAAGGAAGAAAAATAAATAAAAGGCATCAAGTTGGAAAGGAAGAAGTAAAACTGCTACTATTTGCAGATGATAATCCTAAAGACTCAACCAAAAACAGAACTAATAAATGAACTCAGTAAAATTGCAGGATTAAAAATCAATTACAAAAATCTGTTGCATTTCTGTAACTAACAAACTAGCAGAAAGATAAATTAAAAATCCCATTTACAATTGGATAAAAAAGAATGAAATACCTGGAAATAAATTTAGCCAAGGAGGTGAAAGATCTGTACACTAAAAACTATAGGACGGTTATGAAAGAAAATAAAGAAGATACACATAGATGGAAAGATACTCCGTGCTCATGGATTGTTGGAATTAATATTGCTAAAATGTTTATACTACCCAAAGCAATCTAGATTCAATGCCATCCCTATCAAAATTCCAATGCATTTTTCAAAGAAATAGAACAAACAGTCCTAAAATTAGGATGAACCACAAAAGAATGTGAATAGCCAACACAATCTTAACAAGAACAAAGCTGGAGGCATCACACTAACTGATTTCAAAATATATTGCAAAGCTTATTATTCAAAACATTACTGTATTGGCATAAAAAGAGAAACAGACCAGTGGAACAGAAAACAGAGCCCAGAAATAAGTTCACACATATATGGTCAACTGATTATGACAAAGCAGCTAAAAATATACAATGGGGAAAAGGACAGTCTTCAACAAATGGTGTTGGCAAAAAGGGCAGCCACATGCAAAAGAATGACACTGAACCGTTATATATATATTTAAATATGTTTTATTTATTTATTTTTTTTAGAGAGATACATCAATTGGCTTGCCTCCTGCACGCCCCCTACTGGGGATTGAGACTGACACCCAGGCAGGTGCCCTGATGGGGAAGAGAACTGGGACTTCTCAGTCCATGAGACGACGCCAAAATTAACTCAAAATGGATTAAAGACTTGAAATGTAGGACCTGAAACCATAAAACTCCTAGAAGAAAACAGGTGTTAAGCTCATGATATAGGTTTTGGCAGTGATTTTTAAAATCTGACACTAAAAATAAAGGCAACAAAAAGCAAATACTGAGTTGATCATATTAATTTTTATCCTTCATTCTGTTAATGTGTTATATGACATTTATTAATTTGTGTATACTAAACCATCCTTGCATCCTAGGGATAAATTCTACTTGACCATGGTATATGATCATTTTAACATGCTGTTGAATTCAGTTTGCTACCATTTTTTTCTCTTTCCATTATTGATTTTAGAGAGAGAGGAAGTGAGAGGGAGAGAGAGATCATCAAATGGCTGCCTCCTGCATGCCCCCCACTGGGGATCAGGCCCACAACCTGGGCATGTGACCTGACTGGGAATCAAACCGGTGACCTCTTGGTGCATGGGTCGACACTCAAACACTGACCCACACCGGCTGGACTAGCATTTTGTTGAGGATTTCTACATCTATGTTCATCAAGGATTTTGGCCTGTAATTTTCTTTTCTTATAGTGTCCTCCTTGTCTGGCTTTGGTATAAAGGTAATGGTAGCCTCATAAAATGAGTTTCAAATTGTTCTGCCTTTTTAAAATTTTTTGGAGAAGTTTGAGAAGGATTGGAATTCTTCTTTAACTAGTAGAATTCTTCTGGGAGGTCATCAGGTTTTGTTTGGGCTTTTCTTTTTGGGGAGGTTTTTGATTACCGATTCTATTTCCTTACTCATTATTTGTCTGTTCATATTTTCTATTTCTTCATGCTTCAGTCTTGGTAGCTTGTATGTTTCAAGGAATTAATCCACTCTTCTAGGTTATCCAGTTTGCTGACATATAAATGTTCATAGTAGGCTCTTGTGATCCTTTGAATATCTGTGTTATCACTTCATTCTCCTTCCCCCATGGGGAGGGTGTCTTTCTCCATGCTGAGCTCCCTGGGCTTAGGGGATGGGATAACATGGGTAATGTGAGATTTTCCTTTCTACCTCTTCAGTGCATTTTTCTTATTTCTGTGCTCCACCCAGATGCTGCAGCCTCTCATCTGGAATCCTTATAAACTTGTGAAGGTATTTTTGTGCATGGACAGCTGTTCAAATCGATGTTTCTGTGAGGATATGAGCAATGGAAACATATGCTGTCCACCTTGCTAATATGTCTCTTATGGCTATATTTTAAAATTACATACAATCTTAAAATTACATTTCAATTTTCAGTTGTGTTAGACTTTTTGGACTGGTACTCTGATTTTCATATTTTGTCTCTATTTTCTATTGCCTTTTTTTTTCCTTTCTGGAAGGTTTTCTTAGCATTACCTTCTGAACATTTTTTTTTCTTCATTTCTGCTATTGTAATTTTGATTTTCCAATTCTTTTTGGTTCTCTAAATGTTTCTTTTACAAAAATTATCATTCTGTTTATGTCCTGTGAATGTAATTTCTTTTATCTCTCTGAGGATATCAGTAACAATTGTCTTCATTGTTGTTGTTGCTGAAGGTCTCTTCTCCCTGAAATTCTGTTTCATCTAAGTTACTTCCCCCCACTTCTATTTGTTTGGTTTCTATCTTTTATGTAAGAAGATTTACTCAGATATTTAGTGATCCTTTGTTCACTGCTAATATTTAAGAGTAAAGGCTAAAAAGCTGATTGAAAGTTCTGACTTATGGGTTTGTTGACTCTGAGCTTTACTGTACAGGATCTGGCTGGGTTGTTTCCTTGGGGACGACCTGATGTCAAATCTTGTGGTTTTTATTCTTGGGCTGGTCAGATTTTGCAGAAAAACATCTTTTAGTCTTCTGTCAGGAGATTCAGGATGGGTTGTTAGAATTCTTTAAGTTGAGTAAGGAATGAAGACTGGACATCTCAGCATTCAGTATGCATATATTCATTTAATGTGTTTTCAATATGGTACCCATACCTTCAATTGTACCTAGTGTGCCCCAGCCCAGAGGCCTTCTATTTTACACTCTCCAGGGAATAATGCACCAGTCTTCTGCCTGGGTAAAGGAGATATTCTGGAGATCAACTGTTTCTTTAAACAAACTTTCTATAAACTCTCCTGATTTTTGGCTCTATCTTTACCTTGCCCCTACTTCCAAGGTTCCTGAGATCCTCAAGTCCTGAATGTTTTGAGATTTTTGCTGGGTATGTCCAGTTGCTTCTTGGTCTTTGCTTCTGGTGGCTTAGGATTCAAAGAGTCTGCTGTGTTTATTTACTTTCCAGTTTGCAAATCTTTATTATTGTTCTCTCTTTTCCTTTGACCTTTGTTATGGATATACTCCTTAAAGAAAAATCTCTTTATGGTCATTTCAGTGAAACTTCAAGAGACCAAAAGTACTACATGTGGTTAAGTTGCTTTCTTCACCAGAAGTTTATTCATACTGTATTATGGCTACGTTATCATTTAGCACTGTCTCTTAGGGTAGCAAGTATAGCCAAGTCATCAATTACTCACAGAATATGAAGCCAATAGCATTAATTAGTATCAAGGAACAATATTTTTCTGTAAAGAGCTACTGATTTATGGCAAAGTAAACTTCTCAAGAGAAGGTTGTTGGAGACCCTTGATTAAATTCCCATTTGTAAGCCTTAAGACACATTAAGAGCCTCCATACATGTAATGGTTTTAAAAAAATCTCTTTGAGGAGAGAAAGGTGAAATAACTAAGTGGTTACTATTAATTGTTTTCAAGTAAGTCACAGTAAGATGTGTATATCTTTACCCAGAAAGATACATTTTACATTAGTGCAACAAACTGACTTTTTTTTTTTTATCCTCACCCAAGGACATTTTTCGATATTTTGTTCAGATAGAGTGGGAGGGAGAGAGAGAGAGAAACAGCGACGTGAAAGGGACACATTGAGTGGTTGCCACCCATACAACCCAATCAGTGCCGGGGAAAAACTGCAACTGAGGTACGTGCCCTTAGTAGGAACCGAACCCGGGTCTCTCCAGACCGCAGGCCAACGCTGTTAACCGCTGAGCCAAACTGGCCAGGGCCAAACTGAACTTTTAACACTTGCAAAGTTCTTTGAGAAATCTATTTTAACAACTGTACCAGGTTGATGTTTAATGTTACCATCAAAAAACAGAGGAGACATTCACTGGATCTAATGAATATGAGGTAGTAGAGTTTGGCTGTGGTGAGGTCCAGACATATCACATCTGCTCTGAGAGTTTTAAAAGGGGTAGAATACTACCCAACTCTGAAACATTTCCTGATTGTGAGAAAAATCTTGGAGAGAGAAAGAGCTCATGAGCAGGGGGCTACAGTTAATGTAGTAATATGTGGTTGTTACACCACTGTCATTTAAAAAATTTTTTATTAAAGAGGTTTTGAGTAGTACCAAAAGGGTAGCGGACTATCGTTTGGTCTGTAAGGTCTCTTGGTGCCTTGAAATTTTTTATTAAGATATCTAAAATGAGGATAACAGACTTCCGGTCAAGATGGCGGCGTAGGTAAACGTGGTATCGCATCCTCCCACAACCACATCAAAGTTACAGCTAAACTACAGAACAACCATCCTTCAAAAATCACCTGAAATCAAGCTGAATGGAAGTCCTACAACGACGGAATTGAAGCAGCAGCCACATCGAGACTGGTAGGAGGGGCGGAGACGGATGGGCTGGTCCCACACCCACGTGTGGCGGATAAAAATCAGGAGGCTGCCTCAGCTGGGAAGGTCCTCCCTGAGGGCTGAGGGGTCCGTGTCCCACACCAGGCACCCCACTCAGGGTTCTAGTGCCAAGAAGAAAAGCCCCCTTAACGTCTGGCTGGAAAAACCAGCAGGAACTGAGGATCAGGGAGGCTGAAGCAGTGGGAGCCCCAGGCGGCTCCTCTTAAAGGGCCCTTGCACGAACTTACTCGGACTTGCTCCCTCTAAGCTCAGAGGGGAAGCAGCTTGAGACGCACCAGAGACATACAGGGAAGAACTGAGCTGTTTGGCATTGGAGCGAGGGCTGGAGAGGGGGCTTTCTCTGGGACAAATGTGCTGTCAGAGACCTTTGTTCCTTTGGTAAGCCCTTCCCTGGGGTGGCAGACAGCTGCCATATCAGGGACTCCAGCAACCTGGCTCACACTGGTTGCCCTGCCCTGGTGATTCCGAGGCCCCGCCCCACCCAACTTTCAGGCCCACCCAAGCTGTTGCCAGTTGCTTTACCATAGGATTGGCCTGTCTCAAATCCTGCTACAGGTTTTCCTCAATTCTTTCAAACAAGCAGCACCTGGTCTCAGCTAGCCCCATACCTCTCATTAAGTAATACATAGAAACAAACACAGGGAGGCAGCCAAAATGAGGAGACAAAGAAACAGGTCCCAAATGAAAGAACAGAAAAAATCTCCAGGAAAAGAACTAAGTGAAATGGAGATAAGCAACCTAACAGATGCTGAATTCAAAATAAGGATGCTCAATGAACTGAGTGAGAACCTCAGTGAACTTAGTGAGGGCCTCAAGAGCATAAAAAAGGACCAGTCAGAAATGAAGGATGCACAGTCAGAAATGAAGGAGGCACTAACTGAAATAAAGAATAATTTACACAGATTCAATAGTAGAGTAGGTAAAGCCAAGAAGCAAACCATTGATTTGGAATATAAGGAAGTAAAAATCACCCAATTAGAACAGTAAAAAGAAAAAAGAATCCAAAAAAATGAGGATAGTGTAAGGTGCCTCTGGGACAACTTCAAGCGTGCCAACATTCACATCTTGGGGGTGCCAGAAAGAGAAGAGAGAGAACAAGAAACTGAAAACCTATTTGAAACAATAATGGCAGAAAACTTTCCTAACTTGATGAAGGAAATAGACATACAAGTCCAGGAAGCACAGAGAATCCCAAACAAGATGAACCCCAAGAGGCCCACACTAAGACACATCATCATCAAAATGCAAAAGGCTCAAGACAAAGAATCTTAAAAGCAGCAAGAGAAAAGCAGTTAGTTTCCTACAAGGGCGTTCCCATAAGACTGTCAGCTGATTTCTCAAAAGAAACTTTGCAGGTCAGAAGGGAGTGGCAAGAAATATTCATAGTGATGAAAAGCAAGAACCTACAACCAAGATTACTCTATCCTGCAAAGCTGTCATTTAGAATCGATGGCCATATAAAGAGTTTCCCAGACAAGAAAAAGTTAAAGGAGTTCATCACCACCATTTCAATTATATGAAATGTTGAAGGGTCTTTTTGAAGAAAAGATAAAATATATGAACAAACAAAATGGCAATGAATAGATATCTATCAACAATGGGATCTACAAACAAAATGAAAAAGCAGAACAGAAACATTCTCATAGATACAGAGAACATTTTGTTGGTTGCCAGATGGGAGAGGGATTGGGGGAATGGGTGAAAAAAAGTGAAGGGATTAAGAAGAACAAATTGGTTGTTAGATTGACAAACCTCAAAGGGAAGGGTGTTGGGGAGTGGGAAGAAATAAACCAAAGAACTTATATGCATAACCAATGGACACAGACAACAGTGTGGGAAAAGGCAGGAGGGGGACAGGAGTGGAGAGGAGGGGGGTCAGTGGGGGGAAAATGAGGAACATCTGTAATACATTCAATAATAAAGATAAAAAAAAAAGTGAGGATAACAGGAACAAAGACACTCTTGATTTTGACAAGTACCTAATAGGATTGAACTGATGGGCAACTTTACTGAGAAATATAAACTGAAGTATTTAAGTCAGATGCATTTTCAAATAAGAACTAAGATATGCGAGTGTATACAATAAATAAAGCTAAAGCATACAATTCAATTCTCTATAATACCCCATAAGAGAAAAAGAAAGCCAGAATGCAAAGACAGATATACTGCTTCAATATTTGCCAGTCAGTCACACGATAGCCACCTTTAAATATTTGGAAGTATCATATGGTAGATAAATCAGATATAATTCTGTGAGTATTACAGAGCATAAAAAGGATCAATGTACAAAAGACATGTTTTTAGGATTAAAGCTAGATAATTAAAACAATATACCTCAGTATATAGTCATTTATTCCTGAAAGTTTAGAAGCAGATGCTGGCTAAATGGATAAATACACACAGGACATGTTCGAGGAAACTTTCTTATTGGAAATAACATCCTCTCTAAAGTTTTTTCAATGCCTTTTTTTTTTTCTTTTTTCCTTTATTGATTTTACAGAGAGAGGAAGTTAAAGGGAGAAACATCGATGAGAAAGAACATTGATTGGCCACCTCCTGCCTGCCCCCCACTGCGGATTGGGCCCACAACCTGGGCATGTGTCCTGACCAGGAATCAAACCAGCAACCTCTTGGTGCATGGGTTGATGCTCCACCACTGACCCATGCTGGCCGGACCAATACTTACTTTCTTAATCAAAGGTAACACTTTCTCAAAGTCTAGAAGTAATGACTATTCACTACAGAAAAACGGGAAAACAGAAAAACAAACAAACAAAAAAAACACACAAAAGGAATAACTGCCCAGAGAGAGCCAGTGTTAAATTTTTGCTATATTTATCACCAATTTTTGGTTTTAAAGCATAATTATATTAATGACAAATTTGCTGAATAAATTTAAGTTCTGGACTGGAGTTTTTTCACCCCTGATATAAACTCTTATAAGCTATTAAAGAAGAAGATATAGGAAACTCCATTATTGCTTAGGAAGTAACTAAATGCACATTCAGTACATATATTTTAGCACCTACTACCTTCAAAGGCACTGGCCTAGTGCCTGCAGACATAAAGGTGAATGAGATAGTTGGTGGAGAAAACACCTGTGGTCAGAAGACCCAGGTAGAAGCAGAACGTGATAAAAACTAGGACAGAAGGGTGATTACATGATATACCAAAAGATGTTTTCAAGAGCCTGTTCACAAAACACGATCTGGCCAAAGACACTTCCCATATCTAACCCTGACAGGACCCAACATAGGAAAAGACTCAAGATCCTAATTTTGTAAGCTGTACAACAGGTCCTTGAATAACTTCATTTCATTCAATGTTGTTTTGTTATAATGCTGATCAGATGCTGTAGGAACTTAATTCTTATATCAATTAGCCTATGGTGAAATTGGTTTCATTATATGTTGTTTTGCTTAAATTACAGAACCTATTGATGGTTTTAAGTGAAGACTTGCTATATTTTATACACTTCAGGGAACATATTATTTCTTTCATGAAACTCGTTTTTTCCACCCATGTCTTTCATAAGCCACAAACCTGATTTCTGCAGTGTTGCCTACTACATTTTGTTAAATAAGAGCTTGATTTTGATGCAGAGATATTTTCTTCATTACATTAAGAGTGAAGTTTAGCCCAGCCGGTGTGGCTCAGTGGTTGAGCATCAACCCATGCACCAAAAGGTCACCGGTTCGCTTCCTGGTCAGGGCACAAGCCCAGGTTGTGGGCCTGATCCCCAGTGGGGGGAGTGCAGGAGGCGGTCAATCCATGTTCTCTCTCATCAATGTTTCTCTCTCTCTAGAATCAATAAAGAAAAAAAAATTGAAAAAATAAAAGGCAGAATTTTCTCCTAAAAATAAAAAAAGTGATGTTTAATGGTCTTTTGCTCATATCCTGCTTTAGGAAAGCAATGTGAAGTGAAGCACTGACAATGGATACAATGGTGGGTAGTAAGTGTCAGCAGGCACCAAGGAAACAAATATTATTAATAAGTCAAAATCAGGAGTTACTTTATTCTATGATGGGCCAAATTTTGAGTCTCTTAAGTTATAAGGAATTTCAGAATACCAAAAGAAATCTCTTTTAGGGGTTCCACAGACTAGTTGTTTAAGAAGATAGACATGGCCCTGGCCAGTTTGCTCAGTGGTTAAAGCGTCGGCCTGCAGTCCAGAGAGACCCGGGTCGGTTCCCGCTAGGGGCATATACTTCAGTTGCAGTTTGTCCCCGGTCCTGGTTGGGTCGTGTGGGTGGCAGCCACTCAATGTGTCCCTTTCATGTCAATGTTTCTCTCTCTCTCTCTTCCTCTCTCCCCCTCCCCTTCTGTCTGAATAAAGAATGGAAAAGTGTCCTCAGGTGAGGATTAAAAGAAAAAGAAGATAGACATGTAAACATGCTGTCTTGTATGATGAGCCATTCATTATAGTGATAAAGAATATCAGGATTTGGAGTCATACAGACCTGGATTTGAATCCAAGCTAGGTCACTTACTAGGTGTGTGATCTTTCAGAACTTCTGTTTCCTCAACTATAAAATGGGACAACTGATACCTAAACCCATAGTGATATGAGGATTAAATAAGCATTGCAAATGACATACTTGTTACTTGGCAAAGAATAAAGCCTCAACAATATGCTAGCTGCTAGGCAGGAGAAAGGCAACATGTAAGGCAGAAAAGGACACAAAAAAAAGATTTTGACTCATAAAACCTCTTTTGGCATTGATGGACGTCAAGGTATGAAAAGTTGATCTGAAGGGTTCTGCTTCTAGTAATGATGAACTAAGTGTTTTGGTTTAACACTCCCTACTAAGAAAATCTAGAGGAAAATTCTGTGACTATTAACAGGTCAGTAAGGAAATCCAGAGAGGAGGAGCCTAGCACTGAGATAATCTTTCCCTTGGGCCATATGCTGATTCTGGAAGAGGGGCCTGAGAAGATAAGTTGCACTTTGACTTGCTAGTATTTTGAGAATAATTTTTGGGTCTATCGTCATGAGAGATATTAGCCTGCAGTTTTATTTTCTTGTATATGTTTGTCTAGTTGCGGTATCAAGGTGATACTGGCTTCATCTACAATTTGCTCTTCTTTCCCTCTTCAATTCACTACTGAATCATAAAGATCATAAAACAGAAATCCACAGTATCTGTTCCTACATTCCATATAAATGCTTATGAGTCCTACTTATCCCTTGGGATGGCTCACATGTCACTTCACCTTTGTTTTTGGGTAACAGCACTTTTCTTGATATGCTGTGAGACTCTGGATTCAGCCTGAGAGGCAGAGACGGCGTCTAACCCCTGCTGACACCCCAGGCTGAGTTGGCATTCGGTAGGTATGCACCATGACTTTTCAAGCTTTGTTCATGTGTTTAGCATCTTGGCAAAGGAAACTTAGAAGTCATACCTGGTAGGGTTCCTTTTGTCTTCCTCAGATATCAAAAACCAAACAAAATCTGCATAGCTCATTCTTCCCTCTTTCTGTACTGTTTTTCCCCTGGGAAAGAAAAACAAAACACAAGGTTTTAAAATTTCCTGAGCAATTACTCAGATAAACTTAGTAGGATAATAAACAAAGAAATAAAGCAATCTCTTCCTTTGGAAATTAAGTTAAAATTTTAAAAAATCAGAATGCTATAACCCTCACAGGGGCAACCCCTTTCATGGTCTATCTTGTTTTCAAAGGCCTAGAGGCTGAAACCAGAAGGCATTTGTAGATATGAAGAAAAAAATCCGATTTGTAATTTAAATGCAAATAATCATCAGGATCAAATACTGCTCTCTGTATTTAGATAAAGGACTAATGCTATTAAAGAATTACTACTGTCTTGTATGAAGCCATGACTGTATATATTGTAGGGTATTATCTGAACTACAGCACTGCCCACTTACACAGGAAGCCTTGTTACAGTTTTATTTGTTCAATTAAAAAAAATCCTCATCTGAAGATTTGTTTTTATTGATTTGAAAGAGACAGGAAAGAGGGGAGAGAGAGAGAGAGAAGAGAGAGAGAGAGAGAGAGAGAGAGAGAGAGAGAGAGAAACATTGATGTGAGAAAGAACCACTGATTGGTTGCCTCCCGTATATGCCCTGACCGGATACTGAACCTGCAACCTGGGTATATGTCCTGGCTGGGAATCGAACCCACACCTTCTGGTATATGGGACAACACTCCAACCAACTGAGCCATACTGGCCAGGGCACTTGTAGTTCACTTTTAAATTCAGGAGCTTTTTCTTACCTTGTTACTGCCCCAGAGAATATTCTTTCAATAATTCTGTTTGATGAAGCTAAATATAAATAAGAAAGTACAAAGCTTGTTAGAAAAATGCTCCATAAAGGCAGTCCTTTCAGCAAATTTATTTTCAGTAGCTACAAGCTAAAACATAATCTTCCATGAGAGAGTATGTATAGTTAAACTTATACATAATTCATACTTTTTTAAAATAAGAATTTGAGGTGGCCTGATCAATCAATAATTTTAAAAAAAACAAGCAAATGGACGTGCCTGACAGCTGGGATGTATTAATATAGTTGAGTACCAAGTTAGTTTTGGATATCCTGAAAACTAAGACAAAAATGTATAGAAGTTGTATTGAACTTGTTATCTAACGACAATTTTTCCTCTAAAACAAGACCAATTTTATCCGAGCATTCAATTCAAGGGGGAACTGATCATCAGCTCCTAATATGAGGGATGTTAAGTAAAAAATGGAAGATGCTTTTAGGTAGAATTTTACAAAACATACCATAAACATACATTTCCTATATTCTCATTCTACAAAAGTCCAGGATTATAACATAATTTAATGTATAATTTTTAGAAATTCCACCAGTTAAGTCTTATTCAAAGACAGAGACAAGTATATCTTAAGATAGTATGTTGCTTTCAATGATAGATCTTAGATAATCTAGAGTAGTGTACCTCGTTGTGGGTTCAAAATAACCAAAAGCATTAGTTTTTAAAAAAGAAGATGACAATGGATCTCAGACCTAGAGATATGGTGAGGACAGGATTCTGTTCTTTCAACAAGTGCGCCAGACAATGGTATGCACACTGAAAAGGTCATTAGAGAGTTAGCAGCTATAAGCATCAACCTCTTCTGCATAAAGTTAGGTACAGACAACACAAAGGTAAATTACTTTGACTGAGGAATGTTGAGAATATGGGTGTCAGTACAGCCATGTCTGGCCACATACCAAAGCTTATATGAGGACTCTCTAGACTTTGTTGAGCATTGGTTTATGGGGTTAATAATTTGAACTAGATAGGAAAAAAGAGGGCTGTATGGAAAGGCAAGGGTATTTAATTCCAAAACTAAAGTACTTTTGAAAGTCTTTTTTAGATTTGCAAGGTTTAGCCCCCTAAAACTGAAGATCATGTTATCCCATTAAGGACAGGTTGGTGGGTGGGCAATTATGTAGTTTCTGTGGCCCCTTCATTATGCAGACCTAGATTTTCTAGACTTCACCCCTTCAGCATGCCTGTATTAGTTGTTATGTGTGGATATACAATATTTTGGGGTGTAATAAGAATTATGATTATGTCAGCCAGAGAGGGTGCTTTACAGAGCATAGAGCATAGTGTTTTTCATGACCACTGGCTCGCAATAAACAGATGATCTGGCCACTGGTAATTAGAAGGTGCATCACTAATTAAGTTGACCTGATGAACATGTCCATCTTCAAAATATTTTGGTGACAAGGTCACGAATACTTGGAGGGAGGATGTAGTACAAAAATGCTTATCAAATAAGTACATTTGAGTATTTTTCTCTTCATGCCTGGTTGGTACTTGAGAATCCGAGAGGTAGAAAACTGTTTCTTATGGAAGTTCTATGAAACTTGACATCATATAGAATGAACCTTTTCTCAAGATGTATACAGATATACCAAATAGCAGAAGCAAAATTCAATGCATTTATTTAAGATTTGTACTTTGTTGCATCTAAAAGGCTTTTAAGGCTGATTTGAAAAAAATCAGCAGTGCCTGAGAAGACATTTAAGAACAGAACATGGACAGTCTTATGAGAAGAATGAATCAATATATCTTGGTACTTGGTTAAAAATATTAAATCAGTAGTTCTAAGTTTTCTACTGGTAAAAACGAAGCAAAAGGATATGGGATATATAATCTTTTGTTTTCTGACAAAAGAAAGCACACAAAATTAATCTGCAAAAAACAAAACCCAAAAACTTTTCTGGAACTAAATTCCTAAAAGTAAGTTTTATAAGAATCCTTGAAAGCACTGGCATAGTAGAAACATTATTTTCATCTATCACTGTGTATAAATAGTATAAAATAAGAAATTTATAAAGGTGTATACATATTCTCTTTCAAATAAATATTACACAGGTGTGAATCGTATTCAATTCATAATCAGAAAATAAACATAACTTCACAGACTCTCCAAATCATCAAAACTAAGACTCTAATTGCTTACTTACCTCCAAACCCTTTCTCCTACAACTGACTTCTAAATAAAAATACTAGTATTTTTACTCATTTCCACTTAAAAAAAATTCTTAGCCCTTTAAAGAGGACCTGACTAGGTACAGAATTTAAAAAATGGGAAGTCCCATAAGTGGGGATAATTTACGTAATTCTTGCCTTCTTCAAAACAGTTAAGTCTTAACATCTATGGAAACTCACCCTGGTCATTGTATCGCGATAGATCGGCCTGGCTGATGTAGAGGTCATGATCGCTATCTAGTTCCCAGAATTTACAGTAAATAACATAAAAATGTTCATAGGAAAAGTAGTCTGTGATTTGGTTTATATCTTCCTCTTCTTCCAAAAGGGCTAGAGTCTGAAATGGTATTAATAAAGAAAATTTATTTTAAAATTATGAAAACCCAGCTTTGGCCATTATATAGAATCCAGTAAATCTTTAATTTAAATTAAATTAAAATTTTTGTTTTTGTATCAAACTAGGAACTTTGATAGGCAACCTCATCCTCCCTTTAATCACTTGATCAATCTATAAGCATTAATGAGCTCTATAATATGTTTAGCAAAGGGTTAGATGCTGTGGAGGATTTAAGAGCAGGAAAAGGGAAGGACCATCATTAAGGTGATTGCAGCCTATCACTGATCCCCAGACTAACAAGCACAGAACAATTAGACAACAGGCTTAGGTACATGTCCATACACTGACACTACTTATAACTTTTCAAAGTTATGAAAATTGATGTCTATTCTATTATGAAGAGTGGGCATCCACATATAGGGCTTGGCTTTGTAATGAAGTTTACAATGGTATACATTGTGATATGTGGTGGCCTGGCATGAAACATGGCAGGGGGAGGGGGAGAGGGAGTGGAGCTTCAGGGCCCTGAGCTGGAAGTAAACCTGGGTCTCCCCTGACTCACTGTGCACCCCCAAGGAAAACACCAGAAACAATTATTTTGAAACCAGAATTCTTATAATTAGCCAAATTATCATATAAGTGGGCAGATAAAGACATTTTCACAAATGAAAGATTCAGAAAGAAAAAGGGACCATAAGGAAACTTAGGAAATAGAAAAAGCAAAATGAAATGACAAATATCAGATATATCAACTCACGATAAAGATAAATGAGTTAAATCTCCCTATTAAAAGATTTTCCCTGGCCGGTTTTGCGCAGTGGTTAGAGCATCGGCCTGCGGTCCAGCGAGACCAGGGTTCAGTTACCGCTAAGGGCATGTACCTCACTTGCAGTTTGTCCCAGCCCTGGTTGGGTCGTGCCGGTGGCAGTCACTTAATGTGTCCCTTTCACATCGATGTTTCTCTCTCTCTCTCTCTCTCTCTCTCTCTCTCTCTCTCTTCCTCCCGCTCTATCTGAATAAAAAAAAAAAAAAAAGAAAAAAAATAAGATTTTCAGATTGAGTACAAATAAAAACCAAAAGAAACAAATCTAGGTATATGCTGTCCAGAAGAGTTGTCTAAAATAAAATCTAAAAGGAAGGTTTAAAAAAAAAAAGATGGAAAAACACATACTCTCTAAATCTTAATAGAAAGAAAATGTGTCAATATTATTGGAAAATAAAATGAAATTCAAAATAAAAAACATTAAGGGACAAAGGTGACTATTTCATAATGTAAATATATTACTCGAATAAAAAATATTTTCTAAAATGTAAATATTGGGAAACTAAAGTGCTTTGTCAAATTAAAAACAACATAAATATTAAATTGCAGGAGTCCTACTCAATGGAATATTACACATCCAGTAAAAATTATAAAGTCTACATAGAAATAAAGGAAAACTATGATGTGGTAAGTGCAAAACACACAATACAAAATCGTATATACTAAGAACTATGTAAAATCCTAAACTCCAAATATATATATAAGAGACTAGAAGCCCAGCTGGTGTGGCTCAGTGGTTGAGCATCAACCAATGCACCAAGAGGTCGCCAGTTTGATTCCCATTAAGGGCACATGCCCAGGTTGTGGGCCCAATCCTCAGTGGGGGACTTGCAGGAGGCGGCCAATTGATGTTCTCTCTCATCAGTGTTTCCATCTCTCTCTCCCTCTCCCTTCCTGTCTCTCTAAACAACAAAGGAAAAATAAATAAATAAATGAGACTAGAAGAACATATACAAAAATGGTATTAATTGTATTATGGTGATAATATTTTTCTGGTTTCTAAATTGCTTGTGTTTTATTTTATAAAATGCTCTTGAATGTATATAAAGCAGAACATGTACAATAAAACAAATCTTGAGAAGCAAGGAGCTTTCATTTTCATAAAGTGAAAAAGATGAATAACTTCTGCTGTTGGTGAGTATGTAAGTGTTATGAATGAGTACAGGCTTTTAGGAGGGAACGTTGGCAGGATCTATCAAATTGAAAATGCTCATACCATTTGATCCAGGATTTTACATCTAGTCATCTATTCTAGAGAAATTCCCACTCATATATACACAAGAGGAAAGTACAAGGATGTTCATCACATCACTGTATAGGGAAATATAAAAACGACCTGAACATCATCAATAGAGGAATATGTAATTAATTACAAATGGTATAGCCATGTCATAGATTATACAGTAGTTAAAAGAATGGTATAGATTTATTTGAATGGGAATGAAAAGAACATTAAGACATACTGTCAAGAAAAAACAACAGCCCTGGCCAATTTGGCTCAGCGGTTAGAATGTGGGCCTGTGGACCAAAGGATCACAGGTTTGATTCCCGGTCAAGGGCACAACAAATCAATGGAAAAATATCCTTGGGTGAGGATTAACAAAATAAAATAAAACAAAACAACAACAAAATAAAAACCAAGTTCACAGAATAAGTATGATCACATATATTAAAAAACTCAATTTATTTTATTACAAAATAGGTCCAGAAGCATGGATGCATGGAACAGACTGACAGATCTCAGAGGGGAGGGGAACAGGATGGGTGGGGAGATTAACCAAAAAACTTATATGCATTACCCATGGACACAGACAATAGTGTGGTGAAGACCTGGGAAGGGGTAGGGTGGGGGTTAGGCAGAGGGGGGCAAAGGAAAGAAATGGGGGACACTTGTAATATTGTGAACAATAAAAAATGGTGATAGCCAAAGGGAAAGGGGGGGAAGGGGAGGTGGAAGCCAGCAAAGGGGGAATAAACGGGGATGAAAAGAGACTTGACTTTGGGTGGTAAACACATGATTCAGTATGCAGATGTAGTTTTATTGAGTTGTACACTTAAAGCCTGTATAGTTTTATTAACCAATGTCACCCCAATAAATTCAATAAAAAAAGAAACACTAAAAAGAAAACTCAAAAAAGAGCAGCCATACAAAACTATATACTCCATGAATATATGTATATGCATATATATGTGTATGTGTGTATACTTGTGTGTGTGTCTATATATATATATATATATATATATAGAGAGAGAGAGAGAGAGAGAGAGAGAGAGAGAATAAAACCTCAGATAATTGGGTTTCCTCTAGGGAAAAGGGGGTGAAATGGCAGGGTCAAGAGATAAATAGTGACTTCAGATTATTATTCTAGATATGTTCATGTTATTAGAATGTTTTATTCTAGTACTAAGAAGATGGCTAAGGAGAGGGGTGGGGGAGAAAATAAGTCCTGCTCTAGGAAGCCCACATGAGTTCTATTTCCAGTTCAACTACTTACTTGCTGTTTGATCTTATCTAAGTCATTCAACCATAGTTGGGCCTCAAATTTTTAAGTTAAAAAAAAAAAAAGGATTCTGAGCCGATCCCGGTGCTGAACGCTGGGAGCTCTCTGCAGGCGGTAGCAGTTTGAGCTCCAGGGCAGCCTGCACCCTCCCGGTCTCTCTCCTTCCTTCGCCACACTCAGCATGAAAGCCTTCAGTCCAGTGAGGTCCGTTAGGAAAAACAGCCTTTTGGACCACAGCCTGGGCATCTCCCAGAGCAAAAACCCCAGTGGACGACCTGATGAGCCTGCTGTACAATATGAAGGACTGCTACTCCAAGCTCAAGAAGCTGGTGCCCAGCATGCCCCAGAACAAGAAGGTGAGCAAGATGGAAATCCTGTAGCGCGTCATCGACTACATCTTGGACCTGCAGATCGCCCTGGACTTGCACTCCGCTACTGTCAGCCTGCACCACTGGTGACCCGGGCAGAGCCAGGCGTCCAAGATGCTGCTGACCACCCTCAACAAAGACATCAGCATCCTGGCCTTGCAGCCTTCTGAGTTCCCTTCCAGGTTCATGTCAAATGACAGTAAAGCACTCTGTGGCTGAGTAAATGGTGTTCATGACTTTTTTTCTTTGCACAAGTCCGCAGGAACTTATTTTTCAATTATTTTACAAGGAGGACAACAAGTTGAATGGACCTTTTTAAAAAATGGAAGCAAAACTAAGAAGGATCAGATCATCTTCCCCAGGGTGTTTCTGACCTGGACTGTGATATTAGTTATTTATAAAAAAAAGACTTCTAATGCCCTTTCTGCAGTTGGAAGGTTTTCTTTATATACTATTCCCCATGGGGAGCGAAAATGTTAAAATCACAAGGAATTGCCCAATTTAAGCAGACTTTGCCTTTTTTCAAAGGTGGAGCGTGATTACCAGAAGGATCCAGTATTCAGTTACTTAAATGAAGTCTTTTGGTCAGAAATTACCTTTTGATGCAAGCCTACTGAATGCCGTGTAATGTTTATATACACATAAATATATATATATATATATTTATCTCTATGTGAACAAAAAAATGTAAAAATGTCCTTGGGTGAGGATAAAAAATAAAGGGCTTCAGGAATGCAAGGTGTAAGGTCTCTTTTATGGAGTGACTGCCGTCTCAACCCCTTCCATATTACCTGCTGAGAGCACCAGGTATGAATAAATATAATAACTGTGATGATTACTGTTCATTTTAGAATACACAAATTTTGTACATCTATTATGAGCTGCTAATTTTGCCAAGTCTTCATTACTTTGTCCCAGATAAAGACAGGAAAAAAAAAAAGAGTAAATAAGGTTGTCTTATTAGCCTAAGCTTCATTTAGTATTTTTCATTTAAAATAAAATAATTAATTTTCAAGTGTGAACAATTCTACCTTCTTCACGTTAACAGAAATTTGAACAATCCAGCAAGATTACCTCGGTAAAAGGCTCCCACTAGTGGTCAATACTTTCTCATAAAATAAAAATAATTGAAGGAAATGTACTCTTTCTTAAAAGGAATTTTTAGTACTTTCTCCAGCAGGAGCTGGATAAAGAATCATTGTTGAAAGGATCAAGCTGAAATTCTATTTCTTCTGCAAGGCTGGCCCTTCCCAACCTGGCCCCATCTCACCCCTCAGGCCTCATCACTGGTCACTCTCTCTGTGGAGCCTTTGGCCACGTTAGACTGTTCTGCAGTTGCTGAATGTGATACTTTCATGCTTGTGGGCCTTTGCTTGTACTGCTTCCTTTACTTGGTATCCCCTTTTATTCTAATTTTTTATCTTGATAAACTCTTGATATCTCCAAGGTCAAGATCATGTGCCAGTCCTTCTCTGAAGTCTTCTTTGCATATTTATTATAAATTCCATTTCTGTGGAATTTTTCAAATCAGATATGGCTGTGCACTTTCTCTTTTGTTCTCCAGTGCATGTGTTGATGTAAAAATCCCTTGTTATTCATCTTTGTTGCCCCCAACATATCCCAGGTATCTGATAAATGCTTAATGACTGAAGGTAGTGACAGAGCTTCACATACAATAAGCACTCAAATATTTGTTAAATGAAGTAAAAATATTAAATTGCTTCTTATATGTGAATTCCAATGAGGCATACTTGCAAAAAGTTGCTTTTTCTTATCTCTGTCGAAGTAATTTTTCCAGTCCAAGATCTGTTCACCGTGTAGAATATTCTCTGAATAACCTGGTTCCAAAGGAAAACAAAACCAAATAGAAACATTAAAGATATTAATTACTTTTCCAAAGGCTATTGCATTTTATAAACATACTTTGAAAGAGATAAATTTTGACTTTTTGATTATGCCAAGTATCATTTTTATTAATAATTAACTTTAAAAAATCTACAGCCACATAGTTTGCATTTGCCCCTATCAGTTTAAGAATAACAACAAAAAAAATCTCTGCTCACAAGCCTGCATTTCTCAGCTGCCTACACATCACTTTCTTTGTTTACCTTTCATCTTATATAGTGATGTCTGATTCAAGTAGTGCTTACTGGGTTGCATGTTTTGGGAAGGTAAATGAGGTGGGAACTATATGGTGGGTTCCCTTGACAATTAATTGGTCAGAAAAATGGCTGCCAATGAGATAGGATTCAAGACAGCATTATTCTGGTTATGATAGCCTAACTCATTGGAGTTCTAAAACTTACAGTCTTGCATAGTCCCTCTATAAATTCAAACACACCTAAAATAATTTACATTCTGAATCCTTATTTGGGCATTAACGATTTTGTTGTTAGCTAGTGTTTTCTTGAGTGGAAGATGTAAAACTATGGGGAAGACACTGGACAGCAGAGGAGGGGGGTATAGGTAGCAAATGTGTATGAGATTGAGGATTTGTGTGTTGTGGTATAGGGCAGAATCGGAAAAGAAAGACAAAGCTGCAATACTGGAGGTAGGAGGTCACAGTTCATTTGTAACAATTTTAACTGGGGTTATTCCCACTCATTTAATTTCCCTTTCATCTATTAGTTTTGTTTGTTTTTCCTCCAAAAGGAAGCAGTGATGAGAATAATTTAAGTAGCTTTTTTTGGGTTCCGTGGTTTTGATTTTAATTGTCTAATAATATAGAAATCTTGTATCCTTGGTGGTTTTATGATGGAAGAGGTTAGATCCTCTTTAAAAGCTATTTTAGTACAAGAAGAACAAAAAAGGGAAGACATTTGGACATCTATCCAAAAAGTAGACCTAATGAGGGACTAAACTACCATTCTGCTTCTGGATTCTTTAGCAGAGGGATTCTCAAACAGAACAGAGAAAAACTAGCCTCAGGATGAAGGTCTAGACTTCTGTGACCCAGCATTCCTCACCCCACCCCTGCTATCAGTGCTAACTCCTCCTGACCCTTCAGAATCTAGCTCACAGGAACCCCAGAACAGGGGCGGAGAGAGCTGTCTTCTGTGCTCCTGCTGTCACCTGTCTTCTTCAGTCATCCTATGCTTTTATATTCTAAACATTGGTGAACCTGACCATCATCACTTCTAAACTCTATTGCATGCCAGTGCCTGACATAGTGCTCTGCGTATATCAGATGGTCAATAATTGCTTGATAACTTTTTTTTAAAAATTGAGGTTAACTGACATTATATTAGTTTCAGGTGTACAACATAATAATTCAATATTTCTATATATTGTGAAATGATCACCACAATAAATCTCCTTAACATTTATTGCCATACACGGTTACAGAATTCTTTTCCCCCTTGTGATGAGAACTTTGAAGATTCCCTCTCTTAGCAACTTTCAAATATGCAATATGGTATTATTGACTATAGTCACTATGCTGTATATCACATCCCCAGATCTTATTTTTAATTGGAAGTTTGTACCTTTTGACTCCCTTTACCCATTTCTCTCTGCCTCTGGCAATCACGAATCTATTCTCTGTATCTATGAGCTTGGTGTTTTTGTTGTTGTTAAAGATTCCACATATAAGTGAGACTATACAGTATTTGTCCTTCTCTGACTTATTTTACTCAGTATAATGCCTTCAAGGTTCATCAATGTTGTCACAAATCCATTCATCCATTGGTGGACACTTAAATTATTTAAATATCTTAGCTATTATAAATAATGCTGCAATTAACATGGGGAGTGTATATCTTTTTGAGTTAGTGTTTTTATTTTCTTTGGATAATATGATAGTTGAATTTTTAATGTTTTATTTTATTTATTTTTTTAAGGTTTTTTGTTGTCTTTTTCCTTTATTGATTTTATAGAGAGAGGAAGTGAGAGAGAGAGAGAGAGAGAGAGAGAGAGAAACATTGATGAGAGAGAACATGGATTGGCCGCCTCCTGCACTCCCCCCACTGGGGATCAGGCCCACAACCTGGGCATGTGCCCTGATTAGGAAGTGAACCGGTGACCTTTTGAGCCACACCGGTGAGCCACACCGGCTGGGCTAAACTTCACTCTTAATGTAATGAAGAAAATATCTCTGCATCAAAATCAAGCTCTTATTTAACAAAATGTAGTAGGCAACACTGCAGAAATCAGGTTTGTGGCTTATGAAAGACATGGGTGGAAAAAAACGAGTTTCATGAAAGAAATAATATGTTCCCTGAAGTGTATAAAATATAGCAAGTCTTCACTTAAAACCATCAATAGGTTCTGTAATTTAAGCAAAACAACATATAATGAAACCAATTTCACCATAGGCTAATTGATATAAGAATTAAGTTCCTACAGCATCTGATCAGCATTATAACAAAACAACATTGAATGAAATGAAGTTATTCAAGGACCTGTTGTACAGCTTACAAAATTAGGATCTTGAGTCTTTTCCTATGTTGGGTCCTGTCAGGGTTAGATATGGGAAGTGTCTTTGGCCAGATCGTGTTTTGTGAACAGGCTCTTGAAAACATCTTTTGGTATATCATGTAATCACCCTTCTGTCCTAGTTTTTATCACGTTCTGCTTCTACCTTGGTCTTCTGATCACAGGTGTTTTCTCCACCAACTATCTCATTCACCTTTATGTCTGCAGACACTAGGCCAGTGCCTTTGAAGGTAGTAGGTGCTAAAATATATGTACTGAATGTGCATTTAGTTACTTCCTAAGCAATAATGGAGTTTCCTATATCTTCTTCTTTAATAGCTTATAGGAGTTTATATCAGGAGTGAAAAAACTCCAGTCCAGAACTTAAATTTATTCAGCAAATTTGTCATTAATATAATTATGCTTTAAAACCAAAAATTGGTGATAAATATAGCAAAAATTTAACACTGGCTCTCTCTGGGCAGTTATTCCTTTTGTGTTTTTTTTGTTTTTGTTTTTTTTCTGTTTTCCCATTTTTCTGTAGAGAGAGAGAAACATCGATGAAAGAGAACATCGACTGGCTGCCTCCTGCATGCCCCCCACTGGGGATTTGGCCCACAACCTGGGCATGTGCCCTGAGTGGGAATCGAATTGGCGACCTCTTGGTGCATGTGTCGACGCTCAACCACCAAGCCACACTGGCCGGGCTTATTTTAGTTTTTAAAAATTGATTTTAGAGAGAGGAAGGGAGGTAAGGAGGAGGTAAGGAGGGAGAGTGAGAGAGAAAAAGAAACATCAGTGTGAGAGAAAAACATCGATTGGCTGTATCCTGCATGCTCCCCAAATGGGGATCAAACTAGTAACCTGGGTATGTGCCCTGACAGGGAATCGAACCCACCACCTTTTGGTGCATGGGATGATGTTCCTTCCAGCCAACTGAGCCACACGGACCAGGGCTATTTTTTAATGTTTTGAGGAATCTCCATTCTGTGTTCCATAGTGGCCAGACCAATTTACATTCCCAGCAGTCTGCAAGTTTCCCTTTTCTCCACATCCTCACTGACCCTTATTATTTCTGGTCTTTTTGATAATAGTCAGGTGTGAGGTGATACCTCATTGTGGTTTTGATTTGTATTTCCCTAATAATTAGTGATTTTAAGCACTTTTTCATGTACCTGTTGGCCATCTGTGTGTCTTCTCTGGAAAACTGCTTGATTAATTAAAGAGGTTTGAAAATTATGTAACAAAAACTTTTATGTTACATTTGTGATAGAAATATATGTGTTGGATTCATAGGCAGTTGAATAACTCTATTCAGAGTTTTGAATAGCATGGATGCCAACCCAGAAAGGTCTCTAATTATTTCATATAAAGCAGTATTGTTGTCTATGATTTATAGATAGACTGAATATAAAATGTTCAGAAAATATAAAACAAGGAAGGGTAATATATTCTAAATTATCGTGAAAGAAACTACTAATGTAGTAATGTTTGTTCTTGAGGAAAAATACATTTTTTTAATTGATTTTTTTTTTTTTTTTAGTGAGAGAGGAAGGAAGAGAGAGATACATTGATCGGCTGCCTCCTGCATGCCCCTACTGGGGGTCATGCCCGAAACATGGGCATGTGCCTTGACCAGGAATCAAACTGGGGCCTCTCAGTCCATTGAGCCACACTAGCCGGGCTCTCAAGGAAAAATAAAACTAGAGTGTAGATATGACCCTAATTTGAATGGTTGACTATTGGGTAGAAGCTGACTTTTCTGTGTTGTCCCAGAGGCAGAAGTAGAACTACTGGATAGAAATGCCCTTATACTGAAATGCTTCATTATAAGGAGCTTCCTAAAATGAGCTCTATGAAGCAACGACCTGTATGAGAAGCAAGGTTTCTTCTCACCACTATTTAGGCAGACATCAGGATTCCTGCATTAGGTGAGAGCTAGTACTACCTGGTGTCTAATTTCCCAACTGGCCCCAATCACTCTGACAGGTGTTTCAGGGCAGAAAATGTGTCTTATTTAACACTGTATTCTAAGCACTGGCTTGGCAGAAGTTCCTATAAGAGAGCTGGAACGTCTGCCCTAGCCAGTTTGGCTCAGCGGTTAGAGTGTAGGCCTGTGGACCAGATTCGGTTCCCACTAAGGGCATATACCTCAGTTGCTGTTCGTCCCCGGCCCCAGTTGGGGTCGTGAGGGTGGCAACCAGTCAATATGTCTCTCTTGCATTGATGTTTCTCTCTCTCTTCCTCCCTACCTCCCTCTCACTCTATCTGAAGATAAATGCAAAAAAGTCCTTGGGTAAGGATAAAAAAAAAAAAAAAAGCTGGATGACCTTTAGCATAGGAATTATATATATAAATAAACATTAAGAACATGTATCACAGTGCCATGCCCCCTCTCTCAGGTTAAAGTCAATTTCAATACATA